TTCAAGAATCGAAAGGAAGTCAATGCAACCTCTACATTATTATACTACTATTTCATATTTCTCTCTGAAGCAGTTATCAATAATTTTTTCAATGACAAACATGATATCCAAATTTACATTTGATTAAAAGAAGTCCTTCAAGCAAAAGATGGAATCAAACTTGACATACCCATAACTCAAATTTTCAACAAGTAATCCGAATCAATGTGTAAAATAAAACAAAAATAAATCAATCAATCCTACCTGGTGCAATGTACCTGTACGGCCCAACGATCATGGACACGAAAAAAGTTTAAATTTTAATAAGGCCTAGTAGGTAGTAACTACTCAAACCAGTCGGTGCAAATCAATTCATGGAATATTAAACAATAATTTTATTTGTACTTGGTTGCCCTTTCAATTATATCAGTTAACCAAAACAAGAAAGGGTACTGATAAATTTATAGGGACTATAATATATTCGACAATCCATATAAAAGTTCACGACCAATATGCACCATTCAGGTCTTCAAAATTTCCAATTTTACCCTCATGCAGTATATAAGTTGATTCATGCAACAAGTCCAATAAATTTCACAGTTTAACAATTTCTTCAGGATACTGCCCTGAAAACCAGCTTTTTATTTATTTATTTTTTTTCCTTCAAAAAAGGAGCTGCAATCTTTTAGCAGACAAAATTAAAGTGTTAACTATTGAGATGACATCTGTAGATAATTTTCCAACTTGTAGTTGAATTAGTAAATAGAACCATCAATACTTCCATGGAATAAAATAGCAATATTTAGTTGACTAAACATTCACAAAACTACCAAGTTACTTTAACTTTTTTATGTCTTCTATGCCATAACTTGAGTAAGAACTCAAGATGAAATGCAATACATTGAACTACATTATGAACATTACTTACGGATGCTCGGTCGAATGAGCTCAAGCCCACTCCAACAGCAAATACAGGGAAGCCCTATTGCAAAAGTGGTGTCCTTTGTTAGTAACAATGAATATCATATCAGACGAAAAACCGAATACCTAGTAAAAAAAGATCGAAGTTGTTCCTGCTTCGTCAATCCTTACCTCATTTGTGTAACCGGACAGCCCTATAAGCTGTGAGTCACGTATTCCTCTGTAAAGATCTTCAGGAACAATGGGTTTCTGTCCCAAAAAAAAAGTAATACATTGCGCCACCTCAAACAAACATAGTGTATGTAAGCTTGTTATTAAAAAATACTCCACATTTTTTCTTTTTTCCGGCAATTATATTTATACAGATCCAATTGTATAAGCATCAGCATTTTACTACTTACTGCTACCATACTATCGATGTTGTTTTCCACCCTCCAGTTCAAACAATCAACTAACTGCAAGATCACATTACCATTAGAATTCAGCTGATATTCGGTTTTTGCATACTAAAAAGGATAATGATATAGGAAAAGAAATCGAATCACCATCTTGTGGGCCTTGGTGACATTTCCTTCCCTTGCTTTCAAGAACCGTATCAACGTTTCATGAGGATAACCTTGATGGACATTCTGTAACATTTGTTTGAAAATATAATGTAAAAAACAAATCAGTACATTGTTTGGAACTAAAAATAGCTCTTTCTTCTACCCACAAGAAAGTCAACATTTTGAGATACTGCAGAGGTTTAGTTACAAGGTGGTCTGAAGTCAGATCACAGTCTTAACATATTTATCATATCAATAACGGATTGAACCGCTAATTTAGCAACCACAAAAATATTCTTGATTTCTCATCAAACCCTTTAACCAAAGTAGCAGGTGAAACTAAAATAACCAACTGACATATTACAATGAAAATTCGGTCGGTTCGGTTCGGTTTTAACCGAATGAGCAGCCCTAAATTATTACTTGCCAAGAAATATATGAGGGAAATAAGAGCTCATAAACAGATCAAGCAGGAGAACAATTAGATCCAGTAATAAGAAACAAAACAAAAAATAAACTCAGAACAAACCTGGAAAGTTTTCTTGAGTGGCTCATCAACTGCAACAAAAATTGCACAAATAATTTGGTCAAGAAAACATAACAGAGATCGGTAAAGAAAAAAATTAATAATGGGCCCACAAAAAGGAAAAGAGATAACAGCTTTAGCTAACCTTCCTCCATTAGTGCTTCAAATTGACCTATGGCTTCTTGTGGAACCACAGCCATTTTTTTTCTCTCTCTTCTTCTTTGCAGTATTTATCAGCAAGATCCAAAATTTTTATTGGTGTCACGAAATTGAAATTCCTTTCAACAAAACTCACATGAAAAAACCTTTAAGCAATGTTTCTATGTTGAAGGCCGAAGCAATGTTTGAGGAACACAACCGCTTCTTTAGGTCGCAAGAAACATAAAATACACAAAATTACAATTCTCAGTCAACACAATCGAATTTCAAGCACTGAAGTACATATAGCATACATAGTACAGTAAATAAGAAACCCGTGTGTACATCCTATAGAGGCAGAAAAAGGGAAAGCAATCGACACCTAAACTCAATGTTCAACATGATTCATGATGTAAAAATCAACATATGACGATATAACTAAAAAAAAACTTAAAACTTAAAAGTTCAAAAAAATTGAATAACAAAATTTACCAGCCTGAAAGAGAAAAAATCACAGAAATAGCCGCTGACATCACCGACCTCCTTCCTCTTCAATTACATCGGACCCAAACCCTCCATGGCTTCCTGTTTTTTTTTCCCAAAATCGAACTCCCAAAAAAAAAAAACCTAAACCAGGGCAAAACCCACAATCAGAAAAGAACAGCGGATGGGTAGTAAAATAGGAAAAAGGAAAACAAACAGTGCTTTACCTTCAACCACGAGCTGCGAAAGCTGCAAAAAAAAAAAGTCAAGCTACTAAAATTGGAATCGAAAAAAAAAAACTCCACGAATTGATTATCCTGACCTTCGATTGTTGGGCAAGATTCTTCCTCTTTGGCTCTCAGCGCCTTTGGTCGCTACGGCACGGCTGCTGACGGGTGGCGACCGATGGGTTTCACAGAGATTTCTTATTTTCTCTCATTTTTTTTTCTCGAGTTAGGGTTTGGTGAGAGGAGAGAGGGGAGAGTTGGGGTCAAATGTTGCGTGGCTTGGGTAGTGGCGTGTGACAGATTCATTATCTCTCAAAAGTCAGTAAAAATGACCTCAACAAAATGACTCTTTTATCCTCGAAAGGCAGCAAAAAAGAGGCCAAAATGTGAGGGTATTTTTGTCTCAAAAAGGACACGTGTCAAGCATATAACCCCTTACATTTTTGCTTATATGTAAGGGGGAGATATATATATATATATAATAAATATGAGATATTTAAAATTCACATTGAAATTTGTAATTGGATAAGAGATGAAATATAGCGAACATATGTTAAAAATGTGAAGTCATACTACTTTTTTGTTGGATTCAACCACATTAATTGATTTAATTGTATTTTTACCAGACGACAAAATATAGAATTATTTTATACCATATATTAAATAATAGTTAGATAAATATGAAAATGAATCAATCTGTATAAAAGTGTACGAATAAGATCTATGTCTATATATCTATAATAAGAATAACTATTTACCAAAAATAGTAGCAAAATAATAGGCCAGAGTTTAATGCAGCCCATAAATAGTAAGTTTTATTATTTTTCATTTTTTTCTTTAAAAAATCACTAGTAATTACCCGTGCGATGCACGGTAGGGTATATTACTAAACATATTTTAATATTTAATATTAAATTTAATGAACTTGTTATATTTTTAACAAAAGTAAACACGTTTGGCGCAAAATACAAAATCCATAAATTATTGAAAACTTATTTGTACACAACGTTTTTGGTTTGATTTGGGGGCGAGTCATCGTCACCACAAACTAAAATTTTCAAACCACTTTGGTCGGTGACACGGGATACAACAACGTATAACTGTCCATGGCTGAACACAGGCTTCTTAAGAAATAAACCAACATGCGACAACGATTGCCCCTGGCTCTTGTTGATAGTCATCGCATACGATACCATAATAGAAAACTGACGCCTCTGGAGCTTGAAAGGAATTCGGACATCAGAAGGAGTAATAGCTATTCTAGGAAGCAACACCTTCTCGCCTGCGTGATCCCCAGTTAGTATCTTACACTAGATAACATGAGTTAAGAGTTTTGTGACAACCAACTGCGTCTCATTGCATAGACCCATAGAATGATCCATGTTACGCAACAACATGAAGGGAGTTCCAATCTTCAAATGCAATTGATGATTTGGAATTCTGGAACATTTCCAATCTTCAAATGCAATTGATGATTTGGAATTCCGGAACATTTGATACTATTTAAGAATTCAGGCGTGTGGATATCAAACAGAAAATCGTTATTAGAGTCGGACTTGCAAGTACTATCAGAACTTAAGTACATCTGACCGTCAGATAAATTCAACGATGTCATGTACTCATTGATAGACTCAATAATATCTAGCACATGCGCTAATATTGCTTTGTCCTTCAAATAGCTGGGATCAGCGGTTGCCTGGTTAAACATTAGAATACGTGCTCTCTACAATTTAGGCAATCGGATCATCAGAGGGCTCAAGCATCATATCCTCAGGTATGTCTATCATTGCACACCCATCATTAGATCCTCCTATGATTCCATCTCCAATGCTCGCTATCCATTCTGCGAACCGAGCAACCTAATCATGTTCTTCTGAATTTGTGAGACTTTGAAGACGCATGTTTTTTGTAAGTTGGAGCACATTACAACTCCTCCAGATATCAGAAGCATTAATCGCAGCATTCACTATGTGCTGACGGCTAGCCTTCGGTATGACAAAAAGAATTTGTCAGAAATCTCCACTAAACACAACCGATTTGCCTCCAAATGGTTTATCCTTGTTAGAAGGATCAATCGCTCCCATAATATCCTGCAATGATGTTTGGACAGCTTCGAAGCAATGCTTGTGCATCATTGGAGCCTCATCCTAAATTATGAAAGAAGCACGTATTATCAATTATGCGAGACAACTTTCCTGATTGATATTGCAAGAAGATTCCTGGTGGGGATTCAATGGTATTCCCAAGCGAGAATGAGCAGTTCGTCCACTAGGCAACAAAAGCGATGCTATTCCACTCGGTGCTACGCACAACACTATGCCACATTTGCATTTAATACCAACAGATAATGTTCTCCACAAATACGTTTTGCCCGTTCCACCATAACTGTAGAAAAAAGAAACACCGCCTCGACCAGAATCAACAGAAGACATTAGGGTTGAATAAACACCTTTCTGTTCATCAGTCATTTTCTTAAGAAGCATTTCGTGCTCAGCAGCAAGAGCCTTTCGATCATAATCTAACTCATCCATAATCAGAAGATTTGAACTTGACTGCATACTGTCACTATCAGGAAAGGGAATAGTTGAATAATCATTCAGACTTGCTCCACGATGTTTCAATAAATACTCAATATCAGCAAGAGCAAGATTTTGGATTTGTTCGTCAGTAAGCAACAAACCTAAAAAAACAAAATGATACATAAGCAAAACACCAATATAAAAATAATTAGAGATAATTAATAAAAAATCAAAATTACCATCATTGTTGAAACGTCGATGTTGTTTATACAGAATGTCGTCTGACAAATAGTGCCAACATCTAGTCCATACCTCCTTCGGTCTACCAAACGAACCAGAAACCAATAATGATGCAAACATGCATCTTAGAGAGTCTGCAGATGCCCACTGACTTGCTTCAGTTATGCCATCGATGTACTCTCTGTCATCCTCCAACAAACCCCATTCGTAGAAAGCATCTCGATATGTAATATATTGACTCTCTCTGACCTTCATGTAGTCCTCATGACATGTTGCACCACGAACAACATTGACCAAATACCTTAAATAGTAATCATCGCCACAACCGGGAGGCACGTACCGCAGACGGCCTACAGATGGTTGGTCTTCGTTTTTCCTAGGAGTCCACTCACGTGTTTTTGGTTCCACACAAATTTTGAAGGTGCCTCAACATAAGTGAGTTCCCTCGCCGCCGGATACTTTTTGTTTGCCTCAAACCACGCAAGAAACTGACTCTCCTGTATAGATTCTTTACTGACTACATACTCAAGATTATCATCATAGTAAAAAAAAACTTTCTTTCCTTTCAAATGGAAACTCAATCGCTGGACAAGAGGTTCTTTGTACTGCAACTCATAACCCAACAACCGCCATACAACCTCACATGAAGATATGTATCTGCAATCATAGTACATGCAGTCATCTGTCTTTCACTAACAGTTAGTCCAGTGCGAAAATCGAGATTCACAATACCTACATATGTAAGGTACAAGCAACAACATTTAACAAGATTAATTATAATCAATATAAAAAAAAAGTGTAGTAAAACAAAATTAATGGAACAAAACTGTAATTGAGATAAAAAAAATCACACGTTTTTTCCATACCATTACACATTTTTAATTAATAGAATTAACAAACACATTATAACATATTTAAGTTATATCAAGTAGCCTAAATTAGAAATAATATAATTGGTATTAAATGCACGCATAGGTTGACCGAAAAAAAATAAAAAAATAAAAATTGAACAAACAAATACAAAAACATCCCAATTAACATTTTTTTTTCCCGAAACGATAGGAATTATTATAAATCAAAAGCGCACAAATGTGCGAATACAAGCAGCCAACGGCTGAAAAGTGGGAGAACAGGTCCGGAGACCGCCTAGAAACCTGGCTAGCAACCGCTAGGAAGAAAAACTCGCAACTAAACTAAACAACTAGACAAGAACCGCACAAGGAAATAAAACAACGACACAAACAACAAAAACAACTAGACAAGACTAAAACGGATCAGCCGGCCCGGTCTACGAATCTATTCTAACTCTCAACGAATTCCTAGAATTTTGGGTGGAATTTCGATAAGTTTAGTGACCAACAGGGTAATACCGAAGTGTAGGACCCCAATCAGAGTAATAAATTTGACACCCGGATGCACTGAAGCCAACGGCCCAGACCTAAAACACGATCACTAACACTAAAACAAACACAAATAAAACAACCACAGAAACAGGAAAAACAACAAAATGAAAAAGGAGCCCTCCCCCAATTAACATTTTCACTTGGCAAATTATCCAATTAGATCCGTTAACATACATAAAAAGAATTGGTC